TTTTTAAACGACGTTCACTTTCTTAAAATATAACTAAAAGCGGTAAATAATCTTAAAATTGCACTATAGGTTGGAGCATGTACAAAAATTAGATTTTAGCCATTTATAATAATTTAAGTGACCGTGCTAGAACCACGGGATCCGGGGGTGCCTAACACCTTCCCTCGGGTCAACAGAATTCCTTATTCAGAATTTCTGGTTCGCAGACTCCAATTGGGAAGTTGACACTTTTCCTCGATTTGGGATTTAAGTTAAACCGGTGACTTGGGACACCAAAAGCCAAACCTATCCCAAGTGGCGACTCTAAAATAAATAAATAATCCCATTTCGAATAATGTCACTTTAAATGGAAAAACTCCCTTATACATTATCATTCGGGGTGGTGTGTAAAGAAGGAGGTGTGACAAATGTGCAGGGGGATCTCCCGGGATACCATCCCGTAGTCCCAAACGTAAATGTACAGGGAGATCTCCTGGAATACCGTTCCGTAGTCCCAAAGTAAATATGCAGTTCAACCAAACAGAGATAGCAGTTACAGCAAGAACCACAATTTAGGCTAACTCCGAGTTAAGGAAGAACATGAAATTTCACTAAAACATGCTACATCAAGTTCAGATAGGTAGTTAAGGCAGTTAAGACAGTTAAGGCACGTAGGCATGCTTTCCTAAGCTAAACAGGATAGTTACATATACTAATGTTGCCCAATTAAAAGAAAATAGATATTTGCATAGTGAAAATGGGATTTTTCAATAAATAGCCCGTGTACGCACTCGTCACCTCACGTACACGGCGCTCATATATCAAACAGTACCAAATCCTAAGGGGAGTTCCCCCTGACAAGGTTAGACAAGCCACTTACCTCGAACCAAGCTCAAATCAATCCGAAATAATGCTCTTTCCACGAATATCCGACTCCGGATGGCCCAGATCTAGCCCAATCACTTACATAACATAAATATAGCTACAAACAATTAATTTAGCTAATGAAATCAAAGCTAAGGCAAGAAAATAGGAAAACACCCAAAAATCCTCCCCGGGCCCACGTTTCAGAATCGGGTAAAAGTCACAAAATATGAAACCCATTCACTCACGAGCTCACTCGTGCAAAAATCATCCAAATCTGACGCCTAAATCCCACTCAAATCTCGATTTTTGGTTGGGGAACTTTTCCCGCAATTTCCCAACTTCCTCACTCAAATTCCTTAATTTATGGAAGAAAACAACTATGGATTAATGAAATATGATCAAAATAGGATTATGTATCGTTACCCAATGTTTTCCTCTGAAAAACTCTCGTAAAATCGCCTTCCTCCGAGCTCAAAATCGAATTTTATGGAATGAACACCAAACCCTCGAATTCTCTCTTTTTCTGCCAGACAAACCGCACCTGCGGACCCTTCTTCGCACCTGCGGCGCCGTATCTGCGGGATATCCATAGCAGGTGCAGAAGTCACTTAAGTGGGCTGGGCCGCACCTGCGAGCCCGCTCCTGCGGTCCCCAACTGCTTCTGCGGATTCCTTACTGCATCTGCGGACCCAGCTGATCTAGGCCAAATTCCGCTTCTGCGGTTCCTTAGCTGCTTCTGCGGCTCCGCATCTGCGGTCCAAAATGCGCAGATGCGAAAACCCCAGGTGTAGCAACTTCAGCAATTTGCATAAGTCTCAAAAACCAATCCGTTAAGCATCCGAAACTCACCCGAGGCCCCCGGGACCTTAACGAAACATACCAACCAATCCTAAAACATCATATGAACTTAGTCGGGCCTTCAAATCACATCAAACAACGCTAAAATTGTGAATCACCCTCCAATTCAAACTTAAAGAACTTGAAACTTCAAATTTCTACAACCGATGCTGAAACCTATCAAACCATGTCCGATTGACCCCAAGTTTCTCACACAAGTCATATTCAACATTACGGACCTACTCCATCTTCCGGAATCAGATTCCGTCCTCGATATCAAATTTCCACTACCGGCCCAACACTCCTAAAATTCGACTTTCGCCATTTCTAGCCTAAATAAGCTACGGACCTCCAAAACACAATCCTAACACGCCCCTACGCCCAAAATCATCCAACGGATCTAACGAAATTGTCGGAACTCCATTCCGGAGCCATCTTCACATAGTTCCGACTACGGTCCAAATTCTAAGACTTAAGCTTTCATTTAGGGACTAAGTGTCCCAAAACACTCTGAAGCCCAGAACGAATCATCCCGGCAAGTCACAATAGCAGAATAGATAACGGGGAAGCAGTTAATGATCGGGGCGCAAATTTTCAAAACGACCGGCCGGGTTGTTGCAAATATACTATGGAGTCCAAGATGTCTATTCGCGCCCACCCAATACCCAGAGGAGCTCTACCAATAGCTATATCGGCTATTGGCCTTTGTGAAAGCTCGTTCATTCTCATATCATGATTTGAGAATGATGAATTATTTCTTCAAAATTTTATATGTCATCCACCATCTAAAATTCATCATTTATAATATTTCTATGTCATATCATGATGAATTATTTCTTCAAACTGATTTTCCTTATCAAAGACACAGTAAACAATCTATGCCATGTCTTTTAAAAGATTAAAGACAAACCACAGCATGTGAACTTCTAAGTCTTGCTAGTTGATTGAGAGTGGACCACTAATTAATTAAAAGCTGAATGACACAAGTGCTTAGGGTATAAAGAGATGTAATTTCTCTCTTTAAAAAAGATTGGCATTATTTCTGTTTCAAAAATATTTATACATTTTAATATTTTCCTAATATGAATCATTTATAACCATACAAATGCTATGACACGTTTTATATGACAAGTTTTAAAAATTTTACAATCACACAAATATTATAGCTTATTTAAGATCATATATCTCAAAAGTCATCCTTTATTTATTAAAATTTGTATCAAGTTAAACTATGACAATCTATTTTTGAAAGGAGAGAGTATATATCATACAACGTGAAAAATAGGCAATTTAGCACGTCTTTTAGATGCAATATGTGAATGGTGAAAGTGCGAAAAACATGAGCAAGTTTCAGTGACCTAGCACCCTAGACAATGGACAAACATCTCAAATCAATGACAAAAGTAAACATCATATGCATCTATCAATGTATCATTCCTGTTAACTTTGCTATCAACTTTTGGAGATAAGGATTGCTGCAGCTGCCAACTAAATCAATCACACAGTCAAGATTTCCTTTATAGGATTGCTGAGGTCAGCTGACAAGATGAGGTTTTGACTAATGAAAGTGCTTTCACATCTCCTTGTAAACCGTGGTCGAAACCACAATTTTACCAAAGGATTCAAAATATAAATAAGTAAATAGACGAAGAGCTGGTTGGGTTAAGGGGATTCAATATTTGTTATATATATCATAATATATACATATATAAATAATGTAATTTTTCGGTGAAGCGTAATATACTTCAGCACTTATACAAACTAAACAAAGGAACTGCACATCAACAAGAAAACATACAGAGAATACAAGCTCGAATACTGTTCAACCAACCAAGATGCGCCTAAAGGAAAAAATTCAATCCGTCTCATTACAAATTTATTTTTAACAATATTGAACTTATCAAGATCTGAAGAGCAGATAAGCCTTAAGCAGATGGCTAATTGTTTCTAGTTAACTTTATTTGTGAAAAAAATGGGCAGCCTGATGCACTAAGCTCCTGCTATGCACGGAGTTCAGGGAAGGGCCGGACCACAAGGGTCTATTGTACACAACCTTACCCTGCATTTCTGCAAGAGGCTGTTTCCACGGCTTGAACCCGTGACCTCATGATCACATGGCGGCAGCATTACCAGTTACGCCAAGGCTCACATTCTTTAAATTTATTTTTGAACCTAAATAAATAAATAAAATGAACATGTTTTTAGATCTTCAGATATAAACAGAGTTGAGATCTCTAACAATTTAAATCTTCAGATATCAACAGAGTAGAGATTTTAGATACAAAATTATTTTTAGGTATTTGGCCCTAGAAAAGAGTAAGATAAACATGTGAGCTAACATACTGCAAATATAAAACAAACAAATGAATGAACACGTTTAATTTTTTATATAATGTGGTAATATTTATTAGGTTTTTTCAGCCGAATAAAAGACTAGGTCATCTTATGTGTCCTTTAGTTGTATTTCTTGCAAGTTTCCGGTATAAACTAAACTAGTGAAAAGGGTAAATGATATTGTACAACCGCTTTCAAAATAACAACAAGAAAATGTGTAAACTTTTATATACTATTGCGGCTACTAAATATAAATAATTTCTTCCGAGGGCTAAAAGTGATCTTTACCCAATAGTAACAGCAGCAAAAGTAAAGTATACATATGAATAAATTTTGGGCCTCTCTCGCCTGTCTCAAATTTTTGGGCTTCTCTCGAAACTGATCTGCCAAGAGGCCCAAGATCTTCAGTTGCTTATCGGCACTGAATGGAGAACAGGGGTGATTTGCACAAATAAGATCATTTAGTCCCACCTTTTAAATTTTGACACCCTTAAGAAAAAATTTAGAAACATAACCCTGCCCAAAATTTTGAGGAATGCAGCCAATTCGAAGAAGGCTGCCAGAATTTTTAGAGTTCGGAACCAAAATATTACTTTTTTGGACTCAAAGCACAAAATTAGGTGAAAAAGAAACTGGTGACCAAAGTATATATAACGCATTTATTCAATGCGCTATACTTTAATGGCACGTTTGTCCGTTAAGATATAGTGCATTGGTTACATGCGTTATATGTAAACTTTACTGACCCACCAATAATTCATCTAAACTTTACTGGTCCACCAATAATTGAGGATATAACGCATGCATCATAGGCGATATATTATAGGGCATATGATGCATGTGCTATATCCTCAATTATTGTACCCCCGGACTGATTTTTTGCTTATTTAAGGAGGATCAGAATTTCGGGAAAAATCCACTCAGGATCCTTCAAGTCTACCGATATATTTGTTTGTTTAACTTATTTTGCATTTTGTTATTAGTTTGCGTTGATTTTTCATTTTCGAGCATTACGACATGTCTGGATGCAATGACGTACCAAGATGTTACTGTGGCAAATGTGCGATTTCGAAGCCATGTTGGTCAAATTGCAATTTGGGGCGCAGATGTTGGATGTGTAAACAAGTTGTAAGTTATTATTATTGGAAAAAATATCTGTTAATAGTTCTTATATATAGTCAAACCTCTCTATAATAGCCTCATTTGTTCCGAATATTTTTGGATGTTATAGCGAAGTGCTGTTATAGAGAATATATATTATAACATAACATGAAAATTAGTTCCGAAAAAGCTTGGTTTTTATACTGAAGTATTGTTATATAGGGATGTTGTTATAGAGAGGTGTGACTATAACATGTTAATTAATAGTCTTTGGTTATCATCCCCATTTGTAGGACGGAAATCAATGTGGTTTTGAAGAATGGTATGATTAACCCATTAACCAAGAATACTACAAATCATGTCTGCTAAATATTTGGAATCTGACCGGTGAGTATGAACTCTAGATCTTGAAACTGCAAGAACAACTTGCGGCAGTGAAGGAGAAACTAAAATAGGCAAAAGAAGAAAATAATCGGTTTGAAGAGAAATTTTAAGTGGTTGAAGCATAGAATGATGGGCGATAATGACTAAACAAACACATGGATGAGTTTGGTGTAGTTTTTTATTTTTATGTTGTACGTGTCATGTCTTATCTTTAATTGTTAACGAATTTAAATTTATGTTAAGCTGTCTTTCTTTTTGCGTGTTCTAGTGTTAGATTAATAAATAACTCGAAAAATAAAAACACATGTGCAAATTATATAAAACATAAATAATTTTGCTATTATATATTTAATATCATATATACAACTAAGAATACATATCAATGAGTCACACAACCTATATGCTTTAAAGCATTGGCTGGCCTGAGGCTCATCTATCCTGCTCGGCTACACTATTAGGATCATCCTCATCACGCCGCCTCTTTGTCGGAGGATGCGCTGCAGCATGATCGTGAGTAAGGCTGGCACGCTTGGTAGAAGCAGCCGTCGGGCCAGCAGTAACGTACAGAATAATAAGATATTTTAGTATATGACATATATAATACTAACGTACGTGTTAGCAAAAAAATTTTAATGGTCATACCATGGTCTCAACGGACTCCTGAATAAGATCATCCGTCTCCGGCAAGTTAGTATCGCACAATGTGGCCTTCGTAACAGGTGATGATGAAATCATTAAAAATAAAATAAAAACACTTTAGATATAACTGACTAATTTATAAGGTAAAAATAAATTAAAATAATAGTAATACAAACAAACACGCGCTTGAGTAGTGACACAATGCTCTGTCGGAACATCGAGGTGCACTGGAGTAGATGAAGTATGTGAAAGATCCTCAGCATCCCTTGGTGATGAGCCATAACTCAGTCGTCGCCCACTATGTACCTCTTGTATCGGAAGATCAGCAGCAACCGTCTATGGCTCTAGACGATCAGGAAAATACTGATCCCACTGCTGTTGCCTAATGGCCGTGCCCGCGATCAACAATGGAGCTGAGGGGGTCACCTGCGAAGTTCCTAGAGATAGCTGAAGGCTGAATGACGACATATTATGAGGAGCATCGTGTGGCTTAGGGTGGTCACCCGTCTAATCATCTCTAATATCCTCCACGGGTGCCTTAACGCCCCCTTGCTGGGGACCCGTCCTCGCCGACCACCACGACCAGGTGGGCCACCCCTTCCTCTCTGGCCACGCTTGCCATGTCTACTATTTCAGGCTCCATTGGTGGCCCATGATGGAACTCCTCGGGCGTGATCTCGTCCAAGTCACACCTCTATTCAAGGATATGAAATGATCGATACAATAGTAATACCCAACTTTGAGATGGGGTCGAATTCCTCTGGGAGCTATGAGATTGAGATTTAGGGGTATATATTAGTGTATATGAGTTTGAACTGTCTTTGATTACACTTCCAAAAATTTGGTTGGTTCTATAGCTAAATTAAACTAAGATTGCAAATAAGTAACTGAAACTAAGAAATTGTGTTTTTGTTGTTGTTTTCAAATATTGTAAAAGGACTAGGGCTGTGACCATGACCTAGGTGTTCGCCTAATGGGATAAAGACTTTCATGCTATTTTTTTGAATGGTGTGGATTACAGCTCACACCAGTATGTTGCCCACTCAATACCTCTGGTCAGAGAATATTTTTGTCCAATTTGACTTTCTCAAGACCAAATGGGTATCTACCAAAATGGTTGATAAGAGCTCAAGTCAGGTTGTTACTATCTCTAGGTTGAACCCTTTATTGGGTTGATCAATTGACCCAATTCCTTGTTAGCTAGGTTGACCTAGACTAGGTCTCTCTTCCTTAAGAAGAGACTAAGTCAAAAAGGAATAAATCAGTGTTTGCAACTATTAATTTCATAAATAAAGCATAAGCCTAGCTAAATAACAAACACCCATTTATAAACAAGCATAAAATTAATCACCTATAAGGTTTACACACTAAGGTTGGGTGACAACCCTAGCTAAGAATCTAGCTACTCAAAATGGGTAAAGAAGAAAACAAGGAAGAAAAGATGATAAAACTCATAGTAAAAGATTAAAAGACAAAAATATAATGTTTAATCACTAAAGTAAGCTAAAGTTGCCCAAAGCAGTAAAGGAAAATGGCTACAGAAGATCAGATATTCAAGACTTGACCTAATTTCATGAAAGAAGTCTATTTATACAAAGCTGGAATTTTCGGACAAAAATGCCCTTTCGGAGGTTCTGCGGCCGCACAATTCCATGTGCGGTCCGCATTTCGCTTGAATCTATACAAGAGTTAGAGTCTACGGCTGCACAATTCTGGATTGCGGCCGCATGTCACTTGTTCTGCGGACTGCACAAAATTGAGTGCGGCCGCATAGGGCCCTTCTGCGGACCACACAAATTTAAGTGCGGCCGCATGGCTGACTTATGCGGCCGCACAATAATTGTGTGGTCCGCATTTCCTTTAGGCTCAAAATGAGACTTCTCTGAACTTGAGCTCTTAGCTTCTGCGGCCGCAGAATAATTGTGCGGTCCGCACTTTGTTCTAAGGCTGTGTTAGATTTCCTTTGCATTCTACGGCCGCAGAAGGAATTTTGTTGTCCCCACATTAGCCTTTTTGCCTGATTCTTGTTCTTTATTTCAAATCGCTCCTTCTTGAGTTGGATTTCATCTTTGTGGCTCATTTTCTAATACTCCTGATATTAAGCATATTTTATCAGTTTTCGGGAATACAATTAAGCATTTTTGGACTAAAACGAAAGCTAGAAAACGCTAATATGTAGTCAAATCCCCTCTTATCAACTCCCCCAAACTTAAGCTTTTGCTTGTCCTCATGCAATTAACGTAATTCCTACCTCAACAAGTTAAGAGCTTTTCCAACTAATCTAAAGTGTATCAAACACACATCAATCGGGACCAACAATTACCCACAACACTTATGAATTATCAACAAGACAATGATTGGAAGTTTTAAGCACCAATAGTTCTGATGTGACACTTGAGCATCAAGAGTTGACTTTATTCATCAAGGAAGCTCGCTCTTTCATGTAGGTAATTGTGGATCCCAAACTCTTTCTCTACTACTCTCCGTTGGCATATCTCACTTAAGAATGTATCACTCAATTCAAGGATTTGTGAAAAGCTCGCTCATCTCTCTCAAAAGAATGTCACAAGTATGGCTCTAGGTACCATATGCTTGCCCCTCATGTAAATCACCACTAATGCAAGGTCACTCGGCTTGAAATCATGTAGGGTTTTTTCGGAATGTAATGAAGGCTTTTGGATTAAGGTAGGAAATGTTAGACTAGAATGAGTTCATCTTTCTTTAAGCACTCCATTTTCTCTTCTTGGCTCATGTTTTTCCGATTTTTTAAAGCATTTTCTTTTTCCTTAAGGGAACTAGAGAGACTTAACATCACTCTTTCTTGGTCATGATCTTCATTTTCTCCTTCTTTGTTTTCTCCAAGCTTTGCATCATTGCTTTTCTTTAAATCCCATCAACTCTTCAACTTAATCACTTTCTTTTTGCATTTTTCTTTTGTTCTTTCTTTCGTTTTCATTGCCTTTCCTCTTCTTCATTTCTTCTCTTTTTGTGCCTTGATACCATTTTCAAACTCCTCGTCTCTCCCCCAAACTTATAGTTTTGGCCAATTGTTTCTCAAGAGTGTTAAGGAAAGCTCGGGTGCCAAGAGAGGGTCACTACAAAATAGGTAAAGGCTTGTAACGTGGTTATCAAATAAGAAAGGTCTTAGGCTCAAATGGGTTTACTAGGGATAGAAACATTGGTGGGACATGGAAAATTTCAAACAGGTCAAGGAGAGCCTACAATCACTTCTCAATCCAAGCAAAACTTAGAATTTCGCCTAGAAACACATTCGGGGCAAGTTATAGACCATTCACACGGGTACTTGGAGTTACAAAAAAACATCTCACTTCTCACACAGCTGGATTGTTAAACAGGATAGAGTCGAGGGCCCACAACAACCATATTCAAGATTGAAAATCACTAATGGTTCAACTAAACCACTCGATGATTGCTTAAGTCAACATAAGAGTCAAAAGGTCACTAACTAGAGCTATTTCTTTCCAAGAACATCTTTTTAATCATAAGCACGTAGTTAAGTGTGTTGGTACCAAGTGAAGCATGCTCGACTCTTCTAGTTCAACTCAATTAGGTCCTCTTATTCATTACTACTACTATTCTTACTAAAACATCAAAAAACGGACTCAATCCCTTAAGAAGGTGATCACACCATCCATCGTTGGGAAGAGTCACCCGGTTCATACAAAAACCATCTTTGGAAAGAACCGTGGCGTTAAGAAAACCGAAGGATTATTGATCACTTAAGCATGAAAAGAAATTACTAAATTAAAAAGAAGCTATCAAAGTAAATAAGAAGCTATTAGACTAAACATCGACTACTAAGAAAACAAAATAAAGAAGCTATAGAATAAACTACTGAAAGCATAAATGAAATGAATATACAAGGTGAGAGAGGAAGAAAGAATATATACATCAATAGAGAGAAAAGAGTCTATACATAGTGAAAATAAGAACAAAAAAATGTTATAAGTTATTTACAGGCCAATGTCATCAAATCAAATAAACTCC